AAATGAAAACATCTGAGACACAAGCGAGGGGAGACGCTGCTCAGGTCAAGTTTTGCACGCAATTAAATCTCAAGCCATGGCATTTGCTACAGTTTATTTTCCGCCGGCGGCGAAGAGCAGACCATAAGGGTGTACGACAGATGTTTCCTTTCAGTTCTCTACCAGACAGTGTCACAGTAAAGACACGTTTGATATACAAACTTATTTTCTTCATGTTTGGAGCCCTGTGGCTTATTTTATTCTTTTTTCACACCCATTCCTCTCATACCCAAAACTCAAAGGGCCTTCTGCCAACCAGTTATGGTTGCCAACGTCCAGGTGGCACCTGGAGATCTCTCGCTATTACGAGTGATCTCCAGATGATGATCAGTTCACTTTGAGAAAATGGCTGTTTTGGAGGACGGACTCTATGGCATTATACCCCGCTGAGGTCCCTCCCCAGACGCCAACCCCCAAATCTCCAGGTATTTCCCAACCCAGAGCTGGCAACCCTACAATCGACAGAGCAGTGAAAGGGCCATCCGTGGTCAAAGTAGGGTTTTCGGCATGCTCGGGGGTCTTCTGCAGAATGATGTTACTTGGTTAAAAACAATGAAGAGAGGAGATTTTACGTAAATGACACTACTCATTTGACTTACAGGTTCTGAGTAGTGCCACATTAGAATCCATGTAAACCAGGCTTTAAAAAATCATCTTAAAATCATTTCCTGCATGCACTAATGCAGAGATGTCGAACTCATTTGTTATGAGGGCTGGATAGGACGTAAGTGTCACTTTGTCGGGCCGGGGCGTGTGTGACATAAAACATAATGCCAGGTACTGGAGATAGAAACTGCATAAAGGACAGCAGGTGGTAAGCTCTGAGTTGGTGTCTCCTCACTGCAAGGCCCCAGGGGCCGGGGGGAGGGGTGCAGGGGGAAACCCACATGGGCAGACTGGAGAGCCAGCAGTGCAGCACTGGGCAGATGCTCCCACACTGCTTGACTGTTGCAGACGAGGTGGTTCCACCTTGCTGAAGCCACAATCCGAGTGGCTGCGCCCACTCCCCCCGCCCCCGAGCAGTCTCCTGTTCCCTCCCTTGCACTAGCTGCTCGTGGGCCGCATTGTGGCCCTGGAAGGGCCAGTACCGCCCCCCGGGCCATAAGTGTGACTAATGTATGGGGGGGGGGGGAAATTCAGAACAGACAATGTAACCTTCAAATCCACCTGGCAAATGCTAGCGCCAGGGCGGAAAAACACCAAACACTTTTCAATTCAGTTACCAGACACCAGTAACTGCCCGATAAAAGCTCACAACAACATCCATGAGAATAAACTGGTGGCGCTGGTGAAACGTCAATTAAAAACCCATAAACAATCTAGCAAAAGCAGAAGCAGAAATTGCTTTTGGAACCAACGAGACCGTCGGAGACAAAGAGGAGACAAGAAAAGCGAACAACTCTGCCTAGGGTGCCAGAACGCCACTGGGCTACAACCAGTGTTCCCTCTAAGCTGAGTTAGTGTGAGCCAGCTCACAGTTTTTTAGCCTCCGGCTCACACATTTTTGTCTCAGCTCAGGAAGGAGGGCTCCAGAGCAAACTAATTTATGGAGTAGCCAAATTCCTCGCTCACAACTTTAATGCCAGTAGCTCACAAAGTAGAATTTTTGCTCACAAGACTCCACAGTTTAGAGGGAACACTGGCTGCAACGGCACCAGCACAACCAATGGGTATCCCATGTAAAGAAATCCCATGTAAAGAAATGCCAGCCAAGACCAAGGAGCCGAGAGCCCAGCAACTGGGACACCTGCCACACCCACCAATCACAAAGCGGCATGCCAACCACACATCCGTGCCAGATAGATATGAAAGCAGCAAAACCAGCACAGGACAATCCTGCCACGTCTCCCTGACATCATCCTGCCTCCATGCACTCACAGAACGCCACAACGGGCAAAACAAAGGCAACGTGGGGTCTTCTTCTGCAGGAAGGACCACGCTGTGCCTAGTAGGAGCCCTGGACGTCTACGGTGCTCCTGGGAGTTGTATAGATGGGTGTGCTGCCCCCAGCCAGCGTTTGAGACTGTAGTTAAGCAGAACTGCCAGATATCTTTAAGAGCAGTGGTCCCTGGGAATTGAAGTCTTTAGTTAGACACCCCACAGCATCCGGCACACAGAGGCGCGCGAGGGTTCGAGTTACAACTCTCTTCCTGTAGCCTTTGTTCTCTATAACCAGCAAGGAGTGGGGAGAAGCATCCCTTTCACCATTCAGCGTCAGACGGGATAATGGGGGTTCCTATCCCGTTCAGCAAACGTGTATCCCTTTTGATAGGAGGAGACACAGAGAAGGAAGCATCCATGTTCCAAACAGGCCACCTCTACTTGGGGGGGGGGGGACTCTCCAGAAAGATGTGTTACTGGGCCAAAGGCAAACAAATGAACAAACAAAACACAAATGGCTTATTGAGAGCAGGATATACTCCAGGATGAATCTTGAGAGGAGTTAGTTGTCTTCACTGGAAGGCTAGCATATACTGCACGGTTAATAGGGTAGTCTATTGCAATGTTTATTGTGTGTACCAACCCCTTTTTTACTACAGTATCCTCTAACTCGGTATATGACAGAGGTGGCCAAACTGTGGGCCGGGAGCCACATGCGGCTCTCTCACGAATATTGTGCGGCTCCCGGCAGGGCGGCTGGGGAAGCGAAGGGGAGGAAGAAAGCAAGTTTAGCTTTAAATGCATTCTCAAAGCTCCCCCCCCCTCCGATGGCTGGCTTGGAGAAGGCATTTGTCTCTTTAAATCCCTACTCCAAGTCAAGCCAGCCAGCGTGGGAGGCTTGGAGGATGCATTTAAAGTTAAAGTTGCTTCCTTTCTACCTCCCCCATCTATTTGCTTTCTTTGTTTTTCTCTCTCTCTTTCTTCCTACCTCTTTCATTCTCTCTCTCTCTCTGACAAATAAATATCATTAGCAAACAAATAAAATATAATTGGACAAATAAATATCAGTATCAATATTTTGTTTTTATTTTCGGCAGTCTCATCTCATTTAACGTTAATAAAAAGCAAATTTGCATATTTTCCAATAAAAATGTGTGTAATATTTGTTCATGTCTTGCGGCTCTCAAACATCTGACATTTATTCTGTGTGGCTCTTATGTTAAGCGAGTTTGGCCACCCCTGGTATATGAAGAACAGTGCAGGCACACGAAAGCTTATGCCCAGAATAAAACTTTGTTGCTCTTAAAGGTGCCACTGGGCTCGGACTTTGTTCTGTCCCCGACCTTCATAACTCCTTTCCATCATCATGGCACGTCATGCCTTAGACAGTTAGATTTGAGTCCAGTAGCAACTTAGAGACCAATTTGTTGTTGGTATCTAAGGTGCTAAGGTAAAGGTAAAGGTTTCCCTTGCTTGAAAGCCAGTCGAGTCCAACTCTAGGGTTGCGGTGCTCATCTCCGTTTCAAAGCTGAAGAGCCAGCGCTGTCCGAAGACGTTTCCGTGGTCATGTGGCCGGCATGACTAAACACCAAGGCGCATGGAACGCTGTTACCTTCCCACCGAAGTGGTCCCTATTTATCTACTTGCAATTTCTTGCTTTCAAACTGCTAGGTTGGCAGGAGCTGGAACTAGAGACGGGAGCTCACTCCATCATGCGGCACATTCGGGTCTCGAACTGCTGAACTACCGACCTTCCACAGCCTGCAGTTCAGCGTCTTAACCACTTGAGCCACCGCAGCTCCAGCACCACTTTAGGCTCTAGTTTTTTTACTTTAAAAAATGCTGATCCTGCAGCAATGTGGCCTGGGGCGGGGGAGATGAGGGGCTCCTGACCTGCCCCCCCTGCCCCCCACACAAGGGCTCTTGGTCTGTTCAAGATTCAGTGTCGCTACTATCTGCACTCTATTGCGTTCCGTATTTAGTGTTTTACGAGCTTGTGTCGTGTCTTGCTATGTCATTATTTTGCTGTACTATACTACAGAAAACAGCAACACAAAGATAATTTCTATCAGGGTACCTGCCTTTTGGAGAACCTATTTGCCAAATGAGAGAACGGACGGCATTTTTCCTGCTTATCAAAATAATTACTCTCGAGCACTGGGTCCATTAATAATTCGTGACCTGGAAGAAGGCCATGAAACATGCAGAGAATCCTGGACGCATGTAGTCACTGATAGCATCTCCATTATCTATTGAAATGTCGTAATTGGACTACACTGTCCACGGTTAAATATTGGGAGCAACTTTTTGGCTGCTTTTACAAGCTTTGGAATAGGTGTTAACCATTCATTGTTCCTTCCTTATGAAACTTTATATATCTGAATAACTGGAAACCTATACCTTTGAGTAATTGTTTGTAAATTTATATTGTTGGAATTTCATATGCTATATGACAGTAAATTCTAATAATTAGTATGCAGTAAACATTTTGGTAGGAGCTGCGGTGGCTCAAGTGGTGAAGACGCTGAACTGCAGGCTGTGGAAGGTCAGTAGTTCAGCAGTTCGAGACCCGGGTGCCACATGAGGGAGTGAGCTCCCATCTCTAGTTCCAGCTCCTGCCAACCTAGCAGTTCGAAAGCAAGAAATTGCAAGTAGATAAATAGGTACCACTTCGGTGGGAAGGTTCCGTGCGCCTTGGTGTTTAGTCATGCCGGCCACATGACCACGGAAACGTCTTCGGACAGCGCTGGCTCTTCGGCTTTGAAACGGAGATGAGCACCGCAACCCTAGAGTCGGATTCGACTGGCTTTCGAGCAAGGGAACCTTTACTAAACATTTTGGTGCATGGTGTAACTTTGTTACTTGTAATCTTTCCACGCTGTGTGTTCCTGGTTTTGCTTGTTTTATTCCCTTCTGGCATTAAAAATAACTAAGGTGGAATCTTGCTTGCAACCTTGTGTGTAAAGTATTGCAAAGCATTCTACCTCCTCTAAATAAAGAGTATCAGTGGGCTAGGGAAGGGATAGTGCCCTTTGGATTCTGAAATGCCTCCTCTGGCTTTCCTATCCTCGCCTACTTACCAGCTATGTAATTCGGCAAAGGCGGCTTTGATCTTCTTTACTGAACTATCCACTTCCTCCTTAATCATCATCCGGTATCTTGTTAGTGAAACAGTGCAGCGTTGAAGATCTTTCACTGATTTTTCAATATTTGGACCTATGAAAACAACCAAGCATCAGAAAACTTCATCTGCTGTCAAATATAAGCCAAAAGTAAAGAAAATAGAAACCAAAAATGAGTCGGTAACCCTAAGAGGAAAAAAGCCCCGTTGAATTTTTAAAAATCCAATCTGCATGTTTTGCAAGCTCTTTTTCAAGGACAAGTAAAACAAATATTTCAACCCTTACCAAGCAGAGAAACTGAGAATATAATGGGTTTGATGACCAGACATTGGGCTTGTGTGTTCCTGTTGCTTCATTGTTGATTTTTCCTGTGCCACACGTGTTTTGCTCCCTCTAGTGGTTGATGTGATATTTCAATGCTTTATGTCCGGCATATCTCCCTGCAGATTTAAACTGCAGATTTTTACTGTCGGAATAAAGCGATGTAATATAAAGTCGACCACTAGAGGGAGAAAAACCCCTCCACCCCTGTAGCTACAGGAACACACAAGCGAGGAAAATGAGAATGCGGGAAAGCTCACTGTTTTCTTGGAGGGGAACTCAGCCCTAAACATTTAGGAGTTCATGGCTCCTAAATCCCCTGCAATGATGGAGTGATACTGTGATCTGCAAGACTGCATTGGTGCTACAGCAGTCTGTGCCAGTGTCCCCGGTGGTGGTGTGTGGTGTAAAGTGCCATCAAGTCATGGCGGACTTAGGGCAACCCTGTAGGATTTTCAAGGCAAGAGACATTCAGAGGTGGCTTGCCATTGCCTGCCTCTGCATAGCACCCATAGCTTTCCTTGGTAGTCTCCCATCCAAAAACTAACCAGGGTTGACCCTGCTTAGCTTCTGAGAGCTAACAAGGTTGGTCTAGCCTTGGCCATCCACCTACAGTGTTCCTAGTACAGGAAATCACCTCACAGTGGTGAGGTGCCTGAAGTCAGACACCATTGGTGACCAGAGAAAACCTGCAGAAATGTCTTTTCCCAGCCAGATAAACAGGACACTTCACATGGTTGAGAAAGTATTCAGGGAAACCTTATAAATGTAAGATTTACTTCTTGCTGACAGCCCAGAATCACGTAATAATTGAAAGTGCTGCAAAATTTTTGTATGAAGCTTCAAGAAGGCGTTCATTATTCCTTGCAAATTGAGTCTTATGTTCTGTATGTTATGCCAATAAAGGCCGATTGATTGATTGATTGATTGATGTGAATTTCCCCTACAAAGTTATCGACTGAGTTTCGGAAAGACCTGCCCCTCCCCATACTTTGTTGTACAGAAAGATCGCACAAGTATCTATGCATTTTTGCAGATGGATGCGAAATGAACTCTCTTGCCAAGCTGCCAATGGAAAAACACCTGGAAAAACTCTGTGTTCACATGAGCTGCACACATAATGGTATACTTGAGTGCGTTTTTTTCGTATGTATTTTTCTAGCTGTCTCTTGGACTATTCTTGCGCATAAAACTTCATGTGTGAACCAGACTTTCCGTTAAGGACAGGCATATCTTTCTAAATACAGGTTTCTTCATAGGAAATGCCCTTCCCTGGATGGTCCAGGCTAGTCTGACCTCATCAGATCTGGGAAGCTAAGCAGGGTCGGCCCTGGTTAATATTTGGATGGGAGACCACCAAGGGACACCGGGGTCATGACATGGAGGCAGGCAATGGCAAGTCACCCCTGAATGTCTCTTGCCTTGAAAACCCCACCAGGGGTCGCCGTATGTCAGCTGTGACTCGATGGCCAGAAAAATAAAGAAGACGACCAGAATCCGTCTCTAGGAACGGGCTGTTGGGGGAAAGCCCACAACTTTGAGATGATGTCCCTTGTGACTGGGAATCTATATTGCCCCCAATGCTCCCTCTAAGCTGTGGAGTCTTGTGAGCAAAAATTTTACTTTGTGAACTACTGACGTTAACGTTGTTTGCGAGCGATTTGGCGGCTGCACAACTCAGTTTGCTCTGGAGCCCTCCTTCCTGAGCGGAAACAAAAATGTGCGAGCCGGAGGCTAAAAAACTGTGAGCTGGCTCACGCTCACTCAGCGCAGAGGGAACACTGATCCCCCCGGACTATTTTACCCATTTGCCATGACAAAAGCAGGGGACCTGTGAGGAACGATTTGGGAATCCCCCCACCCTCCAGGACTCTATCAGCATTTAAATATCAGCATAAACAGCCCAGACTAGCCCGATCTTGTCATAGCCTGGGAGCTAAGCAGGGTCGGCCATGGTTAGGACTTGGACGGGAGACCGCCAAGGAAGTCCAGGGTCACTAAGCAGAGGAAGGCAACGGCAAACCACTCCTGCTCCTCTCTTGCCTTGTAAACCCCATGGATCGGTCACTACGAGTCGGTTATGATTTGACGGCAGGCCCCCCCCCCCGCCCCCGCCTCACTAGGCACTTTACTGTTAGAAACAGTGACACATCAATATGTTGTTGATCAATTTTCCCTATTTGCCTTTATGACACAACCTAGAATAGCATTTGAGACGGGAGCGTCTCTTAAAAGTCTACTGGAATTCCATGGCTATGCAACAAGAAGAAGAAGGAGAAGGAGAAGAAGGAGGAGGAGGAGGTGGTGGTGGTGGCTACAAGCATGGACGGCTTCAAAAGGGAATTAGATAAGCATATGGAGCAGAGGTCCATCAGTGGCTATTAGCCACAAGGTATAGATAGGGGCTCTAGGGCAAGTGATGCTCTGTCTTCTTGGTGCTTGGGGGGGGGCAACAGTGGGAGGGCTTCTACTGTCCTGGCCCCACTGATGGACCTCCTGATGGCACCTGGTATTTT